TCGTAGTGTTTATTTTCATATTATATTATTCCCCTTTGTTACTTATTTGATTTAGGTGGCTCTGTAGACATTCCGTACTTTTGGTATGAGTACCTAGTCATCCGCGATTTGTAATTCTGTAATATCTTCTTCATGATTAAAACTTGTTTCCTTTCATACGGTATCCACGTATGTTATAAAGAGAAGTGGCAATAGTACACAGCCCTGACGCACACCAGAGTAATAAGCTAATTCTGTTAAATAAATGTGTATGCAAAACTCAGGTTCTAAAACAAGATGAAGTCCAGAAGTGGATGAACTGCCATAATTTTTGGCAGGAGTTCACAGAACCTAGGGAGAGAAAGAAGAGAAGAGCAATCCAAACAAGTCCTCTGATGAATACAGAAACAGAAGAATAATAGAAATGTTTGCCACAACAGAAACAAAAGTCAAGTATTTCCACCACACACAAATGAAAAGTAAAGAGCCATCCTCATGAAAGGCAATATGGTATATGGTCCAGTCAGTTTTCAATTGGTAACGTGGTCAACATGCTGGCCACCTTTACATCCAAGGACATTTTCTAGCATATTACTTTAGGCAGAGACAATCTGGGAACCCAGCTTTTTTTTTTCTTCTTGCTTTGCATCTCAAAAAAAATAAACCTAGTGCCAGCAATCAAGCAGCTAGATATAACTGATGTAATACATTTAATTCTTGTAGTGGTGGCTTTGTTAAAAAAAAAAAACCATCATGTACCAGCATCCCGGAACTGTGACTAGGTTCTGTGTTTAGCATTGCTTGCCACCTAGTAGCTCTGACATGAACTCTTGCGGTGTTGATACAATCACAGGAGACGGATCCAAATACTATCTGACTGGCTCAATGAAGTCATCTGCCGGCCAGCCAATAATATAAATGATAAAAATTAAAAGGCTTTTATTAAACAGACACTACTAAACTCCTCTGTCAATATTTCCGACTTTATTGCAGCTTCAAACTGGACAATAACAATCTGCAGGGCGACGACATACTGCCTGTCCCCCATACCCACACTTGAGCCGTATAACCATCACTGACAACACTCGCACACACATACAACAAAAATCATGTTATGTACAAAGAGCACAAGGACAGATCATACACATACCATAAGGTAAATTGACATAATGGGCCCTTCAGGCACATATCTCAATGGGTAATGTCATCAACATCACAACAGGGTAATCATTATAGGTTCTGTTCTAGATAAGGATATTAGTTCATCCTTAGCACTCTTGTTGTTAAAATGTACTGTTTAGTGATCTTATTATTAATTGTAATCCACTGAATACATCTTCTCTCCATATGGATTCCAGAACCCCATTTTGGGGGGAACCCATGTGCCCTCTAACAAGCATGTTGTAAAAGGTGACTAATAAGAAGTTTGCTGAAATCCCATGTATTAAGCGAAAAGGTGATACCACAGCCCATTTCTCAACCATAACACAACATATCTATTGCCATTTTAGGGGTGAATTAATTATGACTTGCACTCACAGCGCCACTAACAAGCAACCCACTACATTACATTACATTACGCAACAGATGCTAATTTGTGATGCCCAGTTATACATATACAATTTAGGCATTAAAATGTACAAGACTATTAATCAGTTATTCGCAGTTCCAACTTCACGACAAACCAGGCATCCCATAATAGCTCTGTTACTGTGCCAGCCCAAACCACAAAGAATATCTATCACTATCCCTTGTGACAACATTGAAACAGACTGAAGTTTTGACAAAGCCAATAGCATACACACTTGAATGCCTACACGGCTTTAAGTACCACTACAAATCATCCGCCACCTTGAATTGTGGTTCACTGCTGATGGAAGCAACAAAAAGCACCACCAGTTTAACAGCCATTTTCCATTTCTGAATCCGCAGTTCATCACACAAATCACCTTGTGCACTTTTTTAAAAAAAGCATCATACAACGTAGACTGATGATTAATATCCCAGGTAAGGATTGACCGATAGTTTAAAACAAAATAAAGCATACCTGGAACGACCGGTTGCTGGCTGACATTTGGAGATGACACAACTGTATTAGTGAAGCAAAAACATTAGAAATAATCTCCCTAGATCTTCAGAACTAAAAGAGTTCATATTCCAACTATTTTCTTCCAATGCCTCAGGCTGCAGTATCTAACTTTGACAGCCCAACTTAAAAAAATGTCCATCTTTGACAGCCCAACTTAGAAAATGTCTAACTTTGATAGACCAACTTAGAAAATGTCTAACTTTGATAGACCAACTTAGAAAATGTCTAACTTTGACAGCCCAATTAATAAAATGTCTTACCTTTGACAGCCCAACTTAGAAAATGTCCATCTTTGACAGCCCAACTTAAAAAAATGTCCATCTTTGACAGCCCAACTTAGAAAATGTCTAACTTTGATAGACCAACTTAGAAAATGTCTAACTTTGATATACCAACTTAGAAAATGTCTAACTTTGATAGACCAACTTAGAAAATGTCTAACTTTGACAGCCCAATTAATAAAATGTCTTACCTTTGACAGCCCAACTTAGAAAATGTCCATCTTTGACAGCCTAACTTAGAAAATGTCTATTTTTGACAGCTCAATTTAGAAAATTGTCTTACCTTTGACAGACTAACTTTGAAAATGTCTAACTCTGACAACCCAACTTAGAAAATGTCTAACTCTGACAGCCCAACTTAGAAAATGTCCACCTTTGACAGCCCAACTTAGAAAATGTCTAACTTTGACAGCTCAACTTAGAAAATGTCTAACTTTGACAGCTCAACTTAGAAAATGTCTATCTTTGACAGCTTAACTTAGAAAATGTTCATCTTTGACAGCCCAACTTAGAAAATGTCTATCTTTGACAGTCGAACTTAGAAAATATCTAACTTTGACAACCCAACTTAGAAAATGTCTAACTTTGACAATCCAACTTAGAAAATGTCCATCTTTAACAGCCCAATTAATAAAATGTCTTACCTTTGACAGCCCAATTAATAAAATGTCCACCTTTGACAGCCCAACTTAGAAAATGTCTAACTTTGACACCCAACTTAGAAAATGTCTAACTTTGACACCCAACTTAGAAAATGTCTAACTTTGACACGCAACTTAGAAAATGTCTAACTTTGACACCCAACTTAGAAAATGTCTAGCTTTGACAGCCCAACTTAGACAATGCCTACCTTTGACAGCCGAACGTAAACTATGTCTAGCTTTAACAGCCTAACATAAACTGTGTCTAGCTTTGACAGCCTAACATAAACTGTGCCTAGCTTTGACAGCCAAACGTAAACTATGTATACCTTTGACAGCCTAACATAAACTGTGCCTAGCTTTGACAGCCAAACGTAAACTATGTCTAGCTTTGACAGCCTAACATAAACTGTGTCTAGCTTTGACAGCCAAACGTAAACTATGTCTAGCTTTGACAGCCTAACATAAACTGTGTCTAGCTTTGACAGCCAAACGTAAACTATGTCTAGCTATGACAGCCTAACATAAACTGTGTCTAGCTTTCACAGCCTAACATAAACTATGTCTAGCTTTGACAGCCTAACATAAACTATGTCTAGCTTTGACAGCCTAACATAAACTGTGTCTAGCTTTGACAGCCAAACGTAAACTATGTCTAGCTTTGACAGCCTAACATAAACTGTGTCTAGCTTTGACAGCCTAACATAAACTGTGTCTAGCTTTGACAGCCAAACATAAACTATGTCTAGCTTTGACAGCCTAACATAAACTATGTCTAGCTTTGACAGCCTAACATAAACTGTGTCTAGCTTTGACAGCCAAACGTAAACTATGTCTAGCTTTGACAGCCTAACATAAACTGTGTCTAGCTTTGACAGCCTAACATAAACTGTGTCTAGCTTTGACAGCCTAACATAAACTATGTCTAGCTTTGACAGCCTAACATAAACTGTGTCTAGCTTTGACAGCCAAACATAAACTATGTCTAGCTTTGACAGCCTAACATAAACTATGTCTAGCTCTGACAACCCAAATTAAAAAATGTGTCCAACTTGGAAATTTTCTATCTTTGCAAGTCCAAATTAGAAAATGCCAACCTTTTTGCACCCCAACTCTTTACTGTTTACTTGGCTGCAGATTCTAGCATGCCCATTTCAAAACTGAACAATTAGCTAACGGTTTTCCCGCAAAGGTAATCAATGTGGCCATTAATTCTTGGAGCTAGATCATAAGAAGGATATGAAAGAAATATGCAGAGTAAGGGCATTGTGACTACATATTTTCTATAGAATAAATACTAGCACACTATATGAACTCTATAATATAATGGGAAACACTGCAGGAAGTTAAATGAAAATAACTCAAGCAAAGACCACATTTCACATAACGAAGAATATTCTATGCAATCACTCATTGACATGAGAATGGGAATTCTCCAGAGCTATAATAATCCTATCCTGATATACAGAAGTGAATCATGGACAGTTGACCAATCATGATGAGAACATCCTGGACACATAAAAAGAGTAATGAAGAAAACTTAACAGAGAGAACTGATTGCCCACATCAAAGGGACACAATCTACATTCTTTGGTCATGTGATGAGAAGTAGAAAATTGAAACACATTATGACGGTGTGAGAGTTGGAGATGAAAAGAGGCAGAGGGAGACCAGAGAGAGAAGATACTGGACAGTCTGACATCATGGCATAGAAGATCACCTGTGTCAGCAGTGACTGAATGCACACAAGACAGAAGGTTGTAGATAGACATGACTAACAAAGCATGGACTTTAGGAAAGACACTGCAGGATTTGTACGGCAAAATGGATTTTTTTTTTAAAACTACATGATGTCTGTTTCAGATTATATCTTTTCCTTGTTATGCTAACAGATTCATAATATCTTTTCTCTCTGCCAGTAACTAATGTACCCCCTGATGTAACCAGTTGTTAGATAAACCACCAACATGTCTGAAAGCACAGTTTCTGTCCAACATGAGGCTAGTCCTGTCAACATTTGATAGGATTAATTGCCTGGTGAAGCCTCGTCACGGCAGAATGGATGACCTGTTGAAGTCCTTCATCTGAGCATTTGACCTCCTGGAGAGAGAAAACAGTAGCTCTTAGCATGCTGTACATCCCTTGAGGTGAAGCCCAATAAACACAAACAGAGAAGATAACAAGAGGTGAGACTTTATGGAGAGGCAGGAAGCAAAAGACATGGATTGGTTCAAGTAATGTCAACAACAAAATTCCACACCGTGAGATAGATTAGGTATATGATGCTATCGATGGACCACTCAGCATGTGATGGCTGATGTGGCCAATAATACTACAGCTACATTTACTTCCCACAATATTCACTAGTGCATATTAGCAAGTCTGTGACCAGCCACCATGTAAACATAGACCCCAACAATGCTTTACAATAACTGCTATTTCAAACGACAGCCTGTTGTTAACCTCTGTGGTCAGAGAAACTACCAACTAAGATACACAGAAATTAATTAAATGGCAGCAACAATCCACAGAAATAATCTCTTTAGCACTGGAATGCCTCCAAATTGTCATTAACAGTTTGAGTGAATAGGCCCGAATTCTCCTATATATTTTAAAGTAAAAGCAAAATTCCCATGTTTTATTCTTCTTAGCATTAACAGGCAGTAAAGTATATGGATGTCTATCCACTCCTCTAAGAGTCTGATCTTGTACAAAAACTTGAGTTCTGCATGCAGATATCTGACTTATTTGTGTGCAGACTGTTGGTTCCTCACCTCTCAAGCAAATCTGACTTTGAAGGAAATACCCCTTATTATTAGTATCTCATGACATGCTTGTTAGAGAAGGAGTGGGATTATTGTTTTCTTTTAACCTTCAAAATGGTGCCCCAGAACCTACATGGAAAGGTCAAGCGTATTAGCCACTGCTCTATCCTGGCTCCATACCCCTAGCCTGTGTGCCCAATTTGTGACCCTTTAAAAATAAAGTTAATTCATTCCACATAGTTTAAAAAAAACAATTTAACTGTGAAATTTAACCATGTAAGTTTCAGAGCCCTTTAACAAGCATGTCGTAAAAGGTAAGTGATTAAGGTTTTGTGAAATCAGGTGTGTTGGGCCAAAAAGGTGCAGATAATACAGCTTAACTGTAAACCACACCACTAAATGGCTACTGCCCCTTTAGTGGCAAAAGTCAAAGAAACTTACAAGAACTGAAAACACTCACCAGAGTATCCAAATTGATCACTGCTGTAATGTCATCAATCTTCACAGTCAAGCGTTCCCTCTCAAAGACTTTGCTGGTGCAGTCAGCTCCAAACATTTCACTCAGTGTCTCCAGCAGGCACTCTTGAAAGTGTGCCTTGTCGATCTTCAAAGGTGGGGGGACAGCCACTGAAGAAAAACAAGCTTCTTCAATAAATGGAATAAATGAACTCTTCAACATCATCAGCATCATTAACACCCTGCTGTGCAATTTATAAGTCACACAGTTGAATGCTTATCTTTTTCAGAATGTTGCAGAACCAACAGCACTGTTTGGCAGTTGCTGTTTTTCTAAGCACATTTTTACGCTCAGTATTTTGCCACTGCTTTCTGAATAGTCAGCTCTCGATATCACTGTCTAAACCATTGCAAGATGATCTGCTGCCAGATAGCCTGCACTCCGGCAGTAAGAAGCGCTTTAGCAATGTCTAAGCCACAGACGGCGACAAGTAGCATACACATTATGCTTATTTTTTAAAATTATATAAAAGGCCCTGATACTCACCCCAATGTGTCTTTAAAAAAAAGGTGCCGGTACGCATCACAAAGTATCTATTGTGTGGAAATGTTCCATCTTTCCCGATGACAGCGTTATACTGCGCTGCGAGGAAACATGGGACTAGCAGCCCATGGTGCTGGTAAGTGCGACTAGCAAGACCCGGCCGTGTTAAGAAAATTCTTCCACAATTATAGCTTGGGATTTTAGAACCGTTGTTGCCAACATTTGTGTTTAGTGTGTTTCCTTTCAGAAGCGTCAGCTCTCGTCCTTTCTAAAGTAATTTCTTCCTACATTCTCATTTCCTTCCTTATTTACCCCCTCTTAAGCAACATGGTCCTTGACATTATGTTCACATGAATCCACCTTACCACCAGCATCATTCATATCCCACTTGCACACATCTTTATAACGTAGTTAGAGGCCAGCCTCAACATCTTCTACCCGTCTGTAATTCACCATACAGGATGTCCTTAGGGACTCTACCATCCTCCAGGTGTAACCATTACATTTCAAAGGAAGATAGAGAGAAGAGGAGACATAAAAGTAGTGAGAGACAGACAAGAAGAATAATAGTTAAAGGATGTATGAGAAGATAAAAGGTTCTCTGATGTGGGGAGTGTAGTAATAAGTCTATACCCAAGAAGATCAGGTAATAGTCAGTAGAGGTAATAAAGAGTGTTTAATTATCTAGTAGTATAACAACTGCAGCAACTAAACAGTGATGCAACACCTATACTCAACAAGGAATAAAAGAATAACAGCTAACAGTCATGTCTGTTAATGAACAGAATTACAAAGTCATAAATCTCATTCTTAGACAACAGCATAGAATGTATCGCCTAACAACCACTATCTAGATACCTAATAAATAGCTAAAATCTGGCTACAGATTAGCAACATGCTACTATCAATTAGCCATATTGCCAGTTACAGTCTAAGACCATCTAATTAGCCAAAGGCCGCCTACAATTTAACCACGCTACTACCAATTAGCCAACCCATTCTAAATCAAGACATTAGTTCCATGTCACCTGCACAATGCTAGGACAGCCTGCTCGGTATAGGCACTGCTATCACAGAAGGAAAATGCAACCCACTGCAAGTTTTTTGCAAAGAAAAGTCATGTCTGCGGAGGAAATCTACATTCTTTGGTCATGTCATGAGAGGTATTAAACCGGAATATACTGAGATGGTTGGAAAACTGTTGGAGAAAAGAGGCAATGGGAGACCAATAGAGAAGTTGCTGGACAGTTTGACATCAAGGCAGGAAAATCACCTGTGTCAGAATTGATTGAAAGTATAAGACAGATTTTGTAAAGGAAAGAAATGACTACCAATGCCACATGGCATAGACTCTTAGAAGTATGAAGAAAGGCTACAGGATCAACTTCACTCCGCGAGGTTTAATTCCCTATGACTCGATCTCTGGTTGTCTCTCTGACTCTCTCCCTCGTCGCTCCATCAATGAGTTAACAAATCTCTAAAATGATTATAAATGCTGACTTACATTTAAATGAAACATGATCATTTTCAGCTTTCAACAGCACAGCAATAACAGCATCAGCATACATGTCAGTCACTGGGTTCGCTGTCCACTCTATGTATGCAATGCTGGAATCCAGTGTCACCTACAGAACATTCATTAAAAGGAAAACTCTGCACATTTTTAAAAAAAAAGCATGTCACATGGCAGTCAATGCTGCTAGGGTATGAAGTAACAGACCTTGTACATACTCTAGGACAGGCAGGACAAACTGATTGTCTCCCGAGGGCCACACAGGACAACTAACTGGAGTCATCTGATAAAGATTATTAAAGAATATTCCCTTTGCGAGGGTCACAGGTGTGCTTGCAAGGGGCTTGCTCTAGGACATGGAATGCAAGGTTATTTTCCTTCCTTCAAAGACAACAACTAGAAAATTCTTCATTTGTCTTTGTAAAATTTTAAGAGGTGGAATCGATCCTAGAACCATACTTCTGTGTCTTTAGCATTTTGAGTTAAAGGTGTCTAATGTACATAACTGTGTAGTCATCCAAGTCCCCGACTAGCAGGCTGCTCCCTGCTGATCACCGGAGGGAGCAGCCCGTGATGAGTGGAAAGCTCAACATACGGATGTGAAGTTAAGCAGTCGGGTGCAGGATGTGATGATTCCTTGGGTAAGCCCAGGTCCAGAGCGCTTTGTGTTGGCTCTGTATTTATGGGAGCCCCTTTAACTGCGGGGAATGCACATGATCTGCCCCTGCCTTCCTTTGAGGGTCACCAAGACTATATGTCGTTGTCCTGGACGAGTTCTCTGGGGGCAACACCTGTAGATAAGCGAACAAAGAAAACACCACACAAATAAGGCTATGTCCTGTCCCAGAAAATTTCAGAAGTTAACCTGGTCAACAAATGCTTGATGAAGCTGGATGTGTAGGCCAAAAGGGGCTTAAGCTGTGAACAGTCACAATGCAAAGAAAAAGAAGAAAAGAAAATTGAATCTTTCCACATATTATCTTTTGCTTTTCTTAATTACCTGTTCTACCTTTCAATGTCAGGTTTTGGAGAGGAGGCAACAGGTGAAAGCCATGGTGTGTGCTGTGTGGATGCCACCATCCATCCATCGCTCTGAGCCTCAGCTCTACTTTCACTGTGTCTGACAGGGCTCTCTGGGGTGTACAGTCCCATGGCAGTCTTGATACAAGCCTAAACCATTTCTTCTTCTTCATGTTCACTGGCTGTAAACTCAGGTAGAAGGGTCTGGTTGCTTATACACTTCTGGACTTTAGTCTTGCTTCAGATTTTTGCAGGCACAACTGTTTTATGGATCTTGTTCATTTGTATGCAGACTGTTGGTTCCTTGCCTCCCAGGCAGATGCATTCCAGTTGAAGAAAACCTCAGTCTACTTTTACGACATGCCTGTTAGGGGGCAGTAGGTCTATTTCTCCCCCCCCCGCCCCCCCCCCCCAATGGGACACCAGGAGTTACACGGGTACGTAGACCATTTGAGACATCAACCTGTTTAAGCGTAACAAAATACCTTGATTGAATCGAACACCTGCAGAGCTGAACCCTCCAGGTACACAATGTCTCCCGCCAGCTGGCTGAGATAGTAAGAGAGGAGTCCAATGTTTCCAGAAAACATGACACTCATGCGCTGGGACACCGTACTCATGGCCAGGTCTGTGTAACCTAGAGGTGAAATAATGAGACATCCATCACAGAAATGTAAAAGTGGAACCTGTAAGAGTGATAGCGAGATGGGTGTCAATAAATAATCCAACTGCTTAGTTCAGCCAACACCCACATACACACACAAATATTTAAAAAAAAAAAAAAAAAACTCACCAGGTCCAAGAGAGAGAAAGAAACATGTAGGTAGGTAGGTAGGTAGGTAGGTAGGTAGGTAGGTAGGTAGGTAGGTAGGTAGGTAAGGAGGGAGGGAGGTAGGTAAGGAGGGAGGTAGGAAGGTAAGGAGGGAGGGAGGTAGGTAAGGAGGGAGGGAGGTATGTATTCTAACTTCACTGGAAATGAGTCATCTAGTAACTGTTTCCTTTCTGTGCCAGTGAAAACGACACATAATACACTTCACTGCTTCAATGAATAAACAATATGTTGTGGCCAAATCCACTAATCCACATACAGTAAATTCATAAGGCAGATGCTAGAGGCGCAGACACCAACAGTTCACCATCAGAATTACGATTTGTCATCGACGGAAATAGTCAGTCATGACAAGCTGGCCAAACACATGCAAAATTATTGCTTAAGGCACACTGTCAGCCCAAAGCAAACTGGCCACACACCATTGTCTGAATATTGCAACACAAACCACCAAGGGCACAGATGAAAGGTATTCCATACAAAATAGCTTTTTTTCCTCAAGACTAGAAGAAAGTGCATGATGCCATACTAGCACAAACATAAAATTAAATACAAAAACTCTAAAACTGAAATAAGGCAAGGTGGATGAAACCACACAATACCATGCCATCATGATAAATGGTGTCAAAGGTCCCAAACAAGCCAGGCGGTCACTGCAGCATTCTGGTGGCTAGAGAACGAGATGCATACATATGTCGTAATTGTAACAGACTCTGAAAGCATCCTGAGAAAGGTGAAGACAGGGATGCTTCGAGCAGAGTGGCAAACTTCACTAGGAAGGTCATGGGTAGTGAGCATACTTTGGATTTTTTTCTTCAGGCGAGGCTGGTGTGATGGCGAATGAACAGGCAGACGGATTAACTGGATCTGCATCACTGGGTGGTGAACTGATACAGACAAGGTAGATGTCATCAGCGCATTCTGGTAACAAGTAAGCAAGTCAGAAGAGAAATTTTATTATTATAACCTGGAGAGAATAATGCGCCTGGGTATGACCACAGGGTCTGGCCTGCTCACGACACTCAGGGAAGAGGCAAGATGGACATGTAACAAGACTACAACTGGAACCACTGGTATTGGTACTCTGTGCTGGCTGCTGAAGATGGGGACAGAGTGCACACAAGAACTCCCCGAGTGCTGAGATGTCAGTTCTTGACTCAACACAACTCTCATAGACATGAATGGGTGTTATAAACAAAATGGTGTCCTCTGTGGGTGATGGAAGCTCAATGGCTGAGGGTGATAAGCTGCATCATTCTTGGCAAAGGTGCTGTTAAGCTAAAATGCACTAAAGGCAGTGGGTTTCTTCCTATGAGGTGGGTAACTTTTAGATAGGCAATGAATGTATTTGTGGGACAAGTGTAATCACCACCAATATTTCAGATTCAGCAAAGAAGATCTGGAAGCACATAAAGAGACGGATAACTAAAATCCATGACGTGAGTGACCAAGTCATCTACAAATTAAATCTTATTCTATTTTTCAAGGCAAATGGCTTATAATACTGAACAATGATTATGTGTTATTTCAATATACCAATTATCAATCAAGATTGCATCAGAATGCCAATTTTAATTACATAAAATTACAAATATATACTAATAAAACTACTTACTGTGCAGATCTTTAGGTGAGACAATGTGATAATTGAAATTCCTCTTCACCAATATTCCGGAGACTCTGTGACCTTGAGCTGGAGGATCAGCAGCTAGCTCCCCTACAACCTGCACAGTAAAGAGACTACCTTAATCCCATCAGTTTGCAGGAACAGACAAGAAAACTGTGCCATCGTCATGACAGAAGTTGGCACTTCTCTGTCTTTCCAGATCACAGTTGTATTGTGCTATAAGGAAACATGCGACGCAAAGCTCATGGCGATGGTCAGTGTCCCTAGCAAGACCGGTCTGAGTTAGGAAAAGTCTTCCACAATTATAGTGTGGGATTTCTGGACCGTTATTGCCAAAATTTGTATTTAGCCACATAGAGGTAGTGGCGGGATTTGAACACATGCTTTCAAAGAGACTGGTGCCTAAAACCAGCAGCTTAGACCGCTTGGCCACACTGCCTATTGGAAGTAGTGGATATATACATTCACTGCTGTGTTTGAGAAATGTACACGCTGGGGCATTAATCTCTTTCACACATCACTGTCCACAAGTAATCTTCTTCTTCTTCTTCTTCTTAGCATTCACCAGCTTTAAACTTCAACAGAAAGTTCTAGTTGTTTGTCCATTCCAGAATTTTGTCTTGATTCAGAACTTGAGTTTTACTGATCTGGCCCATTTGTATGCAGACTGTTGGTTCCTTGTATCTCAAGCAGGTGCACTCTGACTTAGAAGAAAATACCCCTATTTTGTCACCTTCTACAACATGCTTGTTTGGTGGGGAGGGGGGAGACTCATAGATGAGTCTATTCTTATTTTACTCTTAAAATTGGGACCTTGAACACACATCCAAAACTTACAAGTGGTACTTTCTTTTTTTAAACTGCCTATCATGGTAACTGAACTCTGTTACATAAAGGGTTGTAAAAACATTCACTAACTTCTATCCTACAGACAATTTCTACAAGAGAGTAAGGTCCAACTTTTTACAAAATGATTAAAGCAACATCTTGGTACATGGATGTCTGACACCGAAGATATGTTAGGGCACTTGCCACAGTTCTCCTTCTTCGTTCAATCTTAAAAGGACAGCTAACATGTTCTGTTGTGGTTTACAGATAAGTTGTCAGATGTTGCCTTTTCAGCCCAATACTTCTGATGTGAGTAAATATTTAATTAGTCGCCATTTTTACAGCAATCTTAACGGGCAATGAGTCTCTACCCCCCCCCCCTCCCCCAAGTGGGGCCCCAAAACCCACATGGGGATGCCACACTTCTATAAAGGCTGCTTAGCTATCCAGTTGGCAGCCATGGACCAACAGATGAGTAAAGACGCAATCTCCTGAATAATATTATAACAAATGGCTAAGAATGGTTGTGATGGAAGAGACAACCCTGCCTCACAGAAAATTTCAACGGCAGCATCTAAACAATGAATGAGTCTTAGAGAAAGAAACAATAAAATGCAACTTTGTCAGCCAAAATGGAAAAAGGCTGTACTTCTAGAAGAATGACAATGGGATGCAGAGACAATCGACATTTGTCTAGACCTCACTCTTTCACTGAAAAATGTCGTTCTATTTACTTTAGAGAACACTGCAATCCACCCCTTGCCTTTGTGATTTTACCTGGCATTTTTATGTTTTTCTGTGTTTACCGGCTGTAAGCTGCGACGGAAAGTCCTGGCTGTTCGTCTATTTGGACTCCTCTGGCTTTGTGTCACGGTCCAAGTTTTGAATGTACATCTATTTTACTGGCTTATTTGTGTGCCATTGATTGTTCCTTGCCACTCGGGCAGATGCACTCCGACTTTGAAGGAAGCTCCCAATTAGTTTACTCTTACGACATACTATTTTGGGTAGGCAGTGGGTCTATTCTTGTTTTTTGTTTTACAAACCGGGGCCCTGGAACCCATAGGGACAGATTTTATCTTCAACAGCCTACCATTGGTTTCTGAATGATTGATATTCAAAAATTAAAGGACCTTTCTCCACACCTTCAGGCGTAATGGTCACATAGGGCTAGATCTATATTTTATAGGCCAATCAGCACTCAGTGGGTAATGTGGTCAGCCTCACTCTGGCTGCTTTTACCTGGTACCCATTTAAGGCTGAGCAATCTGGAAGCAAAGGCTGACATTCATTACAGTTGTCAAAACTAATGCAAATGTCTGCTACCAAATCACTGACATCTAACTAACAATTTTTGAATACCAGAATGATTAAACTAAGACAGAATCTTCAAGACAGATAAACATTCTATCACTGTTCAGATAGAGATGATTAGAACGCAAAAGCATTGCATTTTAAGAGACACATTTTTGGTACTGTCAGGGTGCAGCTAGTTAGTTACCCTTGTTGCTTAAAGGTGACATTTTCACATTCTTGGCATGCAGACATTTTACACAACCATCAGTATTGTTAGCATATTCATTGTGCCTAATTCACTCATTTCAGACAGGAAACCATTTCTGTCCGCTTGCAGAAGACAAGCCACATTTCACTCACACAGGACACATCTAAAGTACAAAAGAAGTGAACCTCCACATGATAATTCCATCACCCAGTACAGAGCTATTCAACTGGTGGCCCACAGGCTAAATCTGGCCGGCAGAGGCCCACTGATCATTGCCAGTTGTATTGTTTTAATGCTCTTTCCATGCTGGGGATTGGGCCTCTGGCCCATGATGATCCCCATTTAAGATTTTAGCCACACAGTAAACTTTGCCGAATAGCCCTGATCTTCTTCTTCCTTTCTAGCCCCTAATGGAGCACAGGCCCTCAACCAACTCACGCCAAGTCTTTCTATCCTTTGCTATCGCATGCAGCTCTCCCCATCTTTCTAACTTCACTCTCCAGCTCCCTTCTCCATGTATTTGTTGGCCTTCCTTTATTCCTATGCCCCAGTGGATTTCATAGAGACATTCTAGTTATACTGTCCTCTGGTTTTCTCAGTGTGTGTCCTAACCAACGCCAGCATCTTTTCTTCACCTCTTGGTCCACTGGAGCTTGCTTAGTTCTCTCCCAAAGCTCTCCCAAAGCTCTCCCAAAGCTCTCCCAAAGCTCTACAAAAGCACTGATTTGAGATCTGATCCAGTACATGAGAAAACCTGTAACCCTCACAACCCTGTTTAGTCAATGTAATATTATCTTTACTCTTACATCATAAACACTTACTTTGGCCATCTTTTCTCCTCGGAAGTGCAGCTCTATGGGAACTGTGTTGCGTGGGTTGTGTACCTCAATCTTATTGTCTGGGTCATCCTCGTATTCTCGTAACAAGGCAGCCTTCAATCTGGACATTTCATTGACTTCTCCATGAACCAGAACCTTGTAACACAAGATATAATGCAGACCATCAATAAGTGCACGCACACATACACACACAGAACAAAGTTGTAAGTTTGAAAATAACAGTCGCTATTAACAGATTAAATTATAAAAACAAACAACGAAGCAGAACATTATATTCAGTTAGTCGTGTTTCATTTACAAGATGTTGCAAGCAATCTCAGTATTTGTTGACTGTTCATGGTTTTACTAAGCAATTTTTTATGTTCAGTCATTGGCCATTGCTTTTTGAACGGTTGGCTATTGATACAATTTTTTAAATCAATGCATTGTGGTCCGTTGCTAAGTTGTCCGCAGCTGGCATTAAACTGGGTATCTTGGAACTACAAACCTCGTTTATAACCTTCACCCACATGAACCACTGGACCTCATAAATGTAAAGCATTAAATACATTTAAAAAAATACAAATAAAAACTTCCTTTGCAGGTTCTGAGTTGGAAGATAACATCAAGCAGTAATCTGTTACAATGAAACGCCATTTGTCAGGAACCAACTGTGGCCGTTGAATCAGCATGAGAATTGAATTCATGCACTTTATCTGCTGTGGACCATTAACTGGGATGGCATCTCAAGGTCTCTTAGGTTCCCCTAGGCTTAGTTGTCAGGTCTACAAAAAGTTAGTCTTGCAAGACATGTTCTGGGGTCTGTTCAGGACAAAGACATTGACAAAGAGCTGTTTGGTTCATACCTAATTTATATGAATGTTAAGTCTGCAGTGTCCAGTGCATAAGCTAAAGATTGTGACCCGGTCTGTTATTTTAAAACTAAATTAACAAGTACTGATTTACACTAATATTAATACATGCAGTGTATTACAGTATCACTTGCATACCAACAACCAAGGTCTTAGGCTCAAACCCGAATCGAGGTGGGTTTTCCCCCCACAGTTAGCCTTGCCACACAAGCTGAGCCTAGTCCAATATGAATATCAGGTAATGTCCTTGAAAGTAAAGGTGGCTGGCGTGATGCTGACCACATCCCTCACCGTGTGCTGATTAGCCTATAATATTATGAGCCTGGCATCATATGCTCCATACATCGCTGGAGTATAAAAACAGAAAGATTTTTACTTTACTTTATTACATTATACCACAAGAGGTGAAGACAGAAAGTGCTAGAAATCTATAAATGTCAGCTTCACTGTGGAGATGGCACATCTTTTTCCTAGCGCTCACTAGCTGTAAACTCCAGCGGAAAGTTCTTGTTGTTCATACACTTCTGGACTTTAGTTTCATTTTAGACCCTGAGCGTTGAGTGCATGTCAGTTTTTAACAGATATGACTTATCTGTATACAAACTGTTGGTTCCTTGCCTCACTGGTAGATGTACTGACTTCCAAGGGAGCCCCAAATTGTTTGACTCCTACAACGTGCTTGTCGGGGAAGGCAGCAGGTCTGTTCTTATTTTCCCCACAACGAGGCCCCGAAACCCACACATGGAGAGATGGCACATAAGTTCTTTGTGTGAGCTTTGAGGTCCTATATGTATGGCAAAACCGAACAGATTCACAGCCCCCCCCCATAAGTAGGTCATAAAAGATTACTTTTCTTCTTCTTCACATTCATTGGCTGTAAACTCGGGCAGAAAGTTCTGGATGTTCACCCAATTCTGGACTCCTTTCCAGAACCTCAGTGTTGGTGCACATCCATTTTACATATTAACTCATTAGAATGCAGACTGTTGGTTCCTTGCCTCCAAGGCAGATGCACTCTGACTTCAAAGGAAGCCCCCAATTAGTCGACTCGTACAAAATGTTTTTGGGTAGACAGTGGGTCTATTCTTGTTTTCCCAACAATAGGGCCCCGGAACCCACACAGGGGAAATTACTCATCCAGAAATTTCCTTCAATCGGGACCGAAAGGCGCAGATATCACAGCCTACCAATAAACCATAACACAACATGCCAACCACCTTTTTTATGAGAAAATGCAGAAGAAGAAGGTACAAGACTGACTGACTAATAAAAGAACAGATGCCATTAGAAAACCATCAACAAACTGAAGTAAGAATATATTATACTCAAACCAAGGCTAACCCAGTCAACAAATGCCTGCAGAAGCTTGATGTGTCGGCCGAAAGACACAAATACTGCAGCCCTGCTGTAAACGGGCACACCATAATTACATCTTTGGATCAACGCAGAAGAAGATACACTCAAGGACAACCCTTACCACGTGTGAAGGCTTCAGCTCTCTGATAAACTCTGAGGTCTGTTTGTAGTCAGCGTGAGCAGAGAAGGAGATGTAATCTACAGAGCACTTCAGAGGCAGCTTCTGCCCAGCTTGTGTTGTAATCTCATTTGGTTCCGACAGGATATGCTGCAATAGTAAAGTTCATCAAAATGACCAATAGATACTACAAATTTCAGCGAAATGATAAAGGTACTGATTAATTCCTTCTTCTTTTGCACTACTGCTTCTGTCATGAAGCATCGCAGAGAACAGCTAGACGTAGTTTCCTGTCGTTTGCTAATTGTCTAGCTTGTACTAATGTCATACTGCATTTATGTAGTGTCTCTTTTACTCCCTCACCCATCTCTTTCTTGGTCACAGATTTGTGTAGACAAAAGGACATGGTGGTGCACCTACAACTGTCCTGGTAAAACAAGAAATTACGTTTAAGTGAGGCTGATTTTGTATTTTAGTTGAAAAGATTTGTTTATCTGCCTTATTCAACTGCTATTTTAGTATGCACCTGACAAGATACAATAAGATATGCCAGGCAAAAAGCTATGCAACATAGTGTTTGTCTTCTTTCTTTGAATCCTTTCCATTTCTAATCTGTCACCTAAGTTTTGGCTCCAGATTGAAGAGTATAGACCTCTCATTCAAGCAGTGAAATATAATGAACAAACCAGAATATTTAGCATTACACATATCATCATCATCAGAATTTTGCAACAGTGCACATCGTTGGGTTACCAACTGCTGTGGTCTGAACAGCTATCTCCACCTTTGAAGGTCAGATGCGATGGGCTTCATGGTTGCATGCCTAAGGCCTGTCTAGTCAGTCAGGTTCTGTATCTAGGTCTTTCTTGGTCTGCCTGTTCTCTTTTTCCCCCTCTACTGCGACCTGTAGAACTGTTTCTGAGAGGCCCTTAGAGGTTATTACATATCTGTACCATTGGTATTTTCCGTCTTTTCACTGTAGTTAAAAGAAGATGACAGCTGCTATTGTGCATTATATATACATTATGCAAACAGGGTAAATGGTGTCCAGCATTTATACAGTTCTAAATAGAATATAAAATGATGACAGGACAAGTCAGAAAAATTTTACTTTTTTTACTGTCCATGTGTGTTGTGATAGTAATGACTAGAATCTAAAGCCTTCTCTCTCCAATACAATCTATTTTGATTTTGATTTCCTCTCTATATGACGCCAAACAGTCTACAATCTTTTCATCCCCCTGACTCTCCTAATTTCTCAATGTTATGAATATTTGTATGTCCCTGTGCTCAAAGAATGTGGATTGCTTTCTTCTAATGTGAGTTATCAGTTCCCTGAGAAAGTCAAAGTCGTACATCTTTGTTTCATTTTTTTTTATGACCGTGTGCTATCATTGTTCTGTAAAACCTCATCTTGATGGCGTACAAATTTATATGGCTCCTCACAGGTCAGCCTATAACTCGTGTGTTCATATTTATGTGGTAAATGTCTCTAGGAAGACACTGTCTTTGCATTCATGAGTTGAAATGACTTCAGTTACTAATTCAATTTTATGAGACAAATTGGTCTGTCCGTTCTTCAGTACTTATTTTTTAATCAATTGTTATCCAGCACTATTTCTGAGCTACGGAGTGCCATGAGCAAACATTCTATTTTGTGAGCATGAGAGTTTGAGTAAGTTAACTTTGTAAATGCTATCTAACTTCTCTCATAATTACACATCTCCTATACTTAGCCAAATGTATGCACTTAGAACGAAAACTTTTTACCAGTTTAAAAAAAAAATATTTTTTAAATCAAACGATGCAGGATGTGCCCCAACCTCATCTGACTACAAGTTACTTTATAACTACTGGATGCTTCAGTATAACTTTGTTATAGGCTCAAACCCGAATCAAGCTGGGTAATTCTCATCTGAATAGTGATTCTTTGGGCCATCATGTGTTAGTTGAACTATATGCATTCACAGAGGGCTAATTCTTCTTCAGTTCACTTCCGGTGGAAGGTTCTGGTTGTTCGTCCACTTCTGCACTTAAGTCTGGTCCAAGAATTTGCATTTGCATGTACATCCATTTTACAGAACTGTCTATTTGTTTATATATATGCAGACTGCTGTTTCCTTGCCTCTCAGGCAGATGAACTCCGACTTTAAAGGATAGTTAAAGTTTAAGTTAGTTGTGTATCAATTTACAGGACGTAGCAGAACCAACCCCAAAGTTTTTTTTGGCTGTTGTGGTTTTTCCAGTAGTTTGCCATGGCTTTCTGGATGGTCGGCTTCTTGATACCACTGTCAAAACCAGCGCAAGGCCCGCAGCTGGGATAGAACTCGACACCCCAGCATTACGAAGCGCGTTCCCAACGCCTAAGCCACAGATGCCCTTCCAAGAAAACACCTCTAATCAGTCACCTTTTACAACATGTTTGTTGGTGGGTGGGGGTCAGAGGGTCTATCCTTTCCACCCACTACTCTCCTCCACCCTTATAATGAGGAACCCACACAGGTAGAGAGGTTCAACTTCACTCACTCACACGATGCAGGTCTTACCTTGGCCAGTGTACCCTCCACACAGTAGCCGGCAATGATGACACCATTTCTCTTGTCTGTGCACCAGCTCTCAAACAGCTCCCTGGACAAACCACTCTGCATCATACCTGGGCTAGCTAGCACCACTGAGGGGCCAATGTCTTCAAACTGTTCAATATTCTGTAGGACCAGAAGCAGTCTGTCATCAACCAAAATTAATAATAATACAGTAAATTATAATCAAATATGTCTTCATTTCCCAGGATATAACCTGGTACTGGTACCCATTTTAGGCTTCGCTGCCCTGGGAGCCAAGCTATCCACCTTGATGGGGATTCAAACTCATGACCTTTGGGCCAGAAGGAGAGCGTCTACTTAGGCTGGCCACTGTCTTCATTAATGGCAATAACGTTTTATATACATAGTCCATCCTACCAAGATACCAAAGATTTAAGATATCAAGGTATGCTAAAGGTACGTAGAGAAGAAACTTATAAACAGACATTAATAATATGGTGGGGACATGGAGTTGCATGAGTTGACAAATGATAGAATTGTACAAACAGTTTAAGCAACTATTCAACTCAACTTCCGGTCAAAATGGACACTAGGCACTGCCACTGTTTTGAGCCGTGACAAATTTTTTGCTTCTGCCAGACAGTGGCCGTTGCATTTTTGCTCCATTTGTAGACTGAGAGGATATAGTCTCACCGCCCAGTTTTTAAGTTGAGTGCATGGAGTGACACTGTGAGCTGCGGATTTCATTTGGAATGTTTTTCGACTGTGACCAAAGCGGTGGTGTGAATTGTACATTCAGAAAATGGCATGATACCTGTTGTCGCAATAATGGTGGTGCCATTATGTGATTAAAATTGATCACGTGAGCACCTGCTAATCAGTTAGAGACTTCTGCTACCATTCATGATGAACTGCATTTCTAATGTGGGACTGTTTGTGTTAGCACTTCGGATGGCTACCGTATGCTTTTAATGCATGTGTATGCTAGACATGCTGAGACAGCAGTTCGTCAATCTTTCCACAAGGGACTGTGATAAACATTCTGTGTCATTGGCACAGGAGCGGAGCAGCTACGGGGTGACCCGTTTGCTATTAAGCTGAAACTAAGATTATCAGATTACCAGAATGAATGATAAAGAACAGAAAATTTGGAGGAGAAAGAAGCCCCTGCAGGATGAAGAAAAAAGAGAAGAGAAAAAAAGGAGAAGAAGAATCATAACAATCTCAAGTGTCTGGATTGGCTCATTGTCAGGTACCATTCTGATTAGTGAAGCCAGTCACATTTCAGCACCAACATTTCAGGAAAAGGTCATAGTTCTTGCCCTGCCTTTGCCATGTGGTCAGGCCATCCAAGTATAATATCTTTGTCTTCTTGCTCTTTTATCATAGTTGTTCTAGTTGTCACAAAGTGATCAATTTTTTTTCCTCAAAACATGTCTCGTGTGTGTGACAAACTTAATCAGCATGCTTAAAAAGATCCAAACTGCCCAATTCCAACTAGGATGGGTCGACAGCATTCAGAAGTTCAGCTTTAATAATATATCTTGGCTGTACACACCAGGATAGGCTGGGGCAAAAGGAAATAAAAAAAGCTGACACACTGGCTGTGTCTACATAAGTTAATGGGGGAAGAAATTCTAGACAGGGTAGGCATATTGAATGCACTGCATTCCATAGAAGTTGAGACAAAAGAGTCAGTGATCTTCTTCTTCACGTTCACCAGCTGTAAACTCTGGCAGAAAGACCTGGTTGTTCATCCACTTCTGGACTGTAGTCCTGTTCCAGAACCTGAGTGTTGTGTGTGCATCCGTTTTATAGATATGACTCATTAGTATGCAGACTGCTGGTTCTTTGCCTCTCAGGCAGATGCACTCTGACTTTGAAGGAAGCTACCAGTTAGTTAACTCGTTTGACATACTTGTTGGGGAGGCAGTGGGTTTTTTCTTGTTTTCCCTGTAACAGGGCCCTGGAACCCCCACAGGGAAGAGTAGGTGATGATGAACGGCCTGCTGGAAACTGACAGTAAACGAGGACAAGCATGCAGAAAACCGCAGTGAGGCATAGAAAGAAAATTTACCAGTCAACTTCAACGGCACAGTCAGCATGGAGACAATGAGACGGTCTGCCGCATCGGAGGATGGAGCACGAATGCATCTGACTGATGTGCTCGGTGTCGATAGGGACAACAAGTAATAAGTAAGCAATGTCGTGAAAAATCTACACATGCAACCTAAAACACTTTAAACACACCCAACAAAAAGTAGTGGTATATTCTAATGTCTACTAACAACAGTTTAAAAAACTATATTCAGCACATGGCCGTACTTTGAGGTTAATGATGTGCTTGAAAACAAAAGGGTTGCTGATGGTGATCTGCCTGCGGATCTTCTCGTTCATGGCATTGATGTATGTCTGGTAGACACTCATGCATTTCTTGGCCAGCTGAGATGCGTAGTAAATAGGGATGTCATGCAGCTCTGGGTGGTTGCTCCAGTACTCATCTGTAATGCAATAATTTCAAGTTTAGGCTAATGAAAAACATTAATCTTCCATGTTACTGCCATCAACAGCTTCCCATTTTAGCCATTAAACAAGAATAATATCTTTTCCCTGTGTGGATTCCAGGGTTCCATTTTGGGGGAAACACGAATAGACCCACTGCCTCCCTAACAAGCATGTCATAATAGTCGACTAACTGGAAGCTTTCTTCAAAGTCAAAGTGCATCTGCCTGAGAGGCAAGGAACCAGAAGTCTGCATACAAATAAGCAAGATCTGTAAAACAGATGCACATGCAAAACTCAGCTCCTGGAACAAAGCCAAAGTACAGGAATGGATGAACAACCGGATCTTTTTGTCAGGGTTTACAGCAGGTGAATGCAAACAGTAATCTTTTATGCTACTGGAATACAATCTATGAGCCAGTTCTGGAGCTCGATTCTGAAGAAAAAAGAACAGACCCATTTTCCCTGTAACAAGCATGATGCAGGAGGTGACTATTTAGGAGTGTCTCCTTCAAAGTCAGAGTGTAACTGCCCTCGAGGCGAGGAACCAACAGTCTGCATACAAATAAGCTCAAGTTCTGGATCAAGAGTAAAGTCCTGGAGTGAACGAACAACCAGAATTTTCCACCTGAGTTAACAGCCAATGAATGCTAAAATGAAGAAAAAGACTGGAATACTTCATGTTTCAGCTACTAAACAACAAAAGTCTGTCTTTACCGGAATACTTTATGTTTCAGCTACTAAACTTCAAAAGTCTTGTCTTGACTGGAATACTTTATGTTTCAGCTACTAAACTACAAAAGTTTGTCTTGACTGGAATACTTTATGTTTCAGCTACTAAACTTCAAAAGTCTGTCTTTACCGGAATACTTTAGGTTTCAGCTACTAAACTACAAAAGTTTGTCTTGACTGGAATACTTTATGTTTCAGCTACTAAACTACAAAAGTTTGTCTTGACTGGAATACTTTATGTTTCAGCTTCTAAACTACAAAAGTCTGTCTTTACCGGAATACTTTAGGTTTCAGCTACTAAACTACAAAAGTTTGTCTTGACTGGAATACTTTATGTTTCAGCTACTAAACTACAAAAGTCTGTCTTGACCGGAATACTTCATGTTTCAGCTACTAAACAACAAAAGTCTGTCTTTACCGGAATACTTTAAGTTTCCGCTACTAAACTTCAAAAGTCTTGTCTTGACTGGAATACTTTATGTTTCAGCTACTAAACTACAAAAGTCTGTCTTGACTGGAATACTTTATGTTTCAGCCTCTAAACTACAAAAGTCTGTCTTTACTGGAATACCAAAATTCATGTTCCAACTAATAAACTATAATAATATTTCATGTTACTGGAATACCAAAATTCATGTTCCAACTAATAAACTATAATAATATTTCATGTTACTGGAATACAATAACTTTATGTTTCAGATACTGATACACAATAATTTAATTTTCAGCTTCTTATATGCAACATCAACATGCTATAAGTTATCAAATAACCGAATACTCTAGCTACTAAAAAATCAATCCCTTCAAGATTTAGTTACCTAACAAACAAACAAACAAGAAACTGCACAACATCAGAATTAGCTTAACATTTTAACTTTTGAATTACAATATTTCACAATGTAATGACTGAATTTCAGTAACTTTATAATCAGCCATGTAAAGTAAAGATCAATTAAATATGTATTTCTGTACTTTTTAACCAGTTTTTTTCATTGAACAAGGTAAAGGAAAGAAATTTCTACATCATCATCCTAACAGGGATACACAAACTCTACCTGGCAAGTTAGGTAGAGGTAAATGTGGGAAGAAGCACCACACTGAGCTGATATAATCAATGGTGCATGGACTAATTTAGAGGTTAATCATGCTAACCCAATAATGTGGCTAAACAGTGAATTATTGAAGATTACCACTTCAGCAATCTGGCGGATCCGTGGCTGTTCCAATCTCCTCCACATAAAGTGTAAAATGACTGAAAAATGTTGCTAATGCCTGTTCTGCATTTTTTAATCAAACAACTTGTAGCCTTTGGTGAAATGTTTGCTTGTTACAGCTCCATCTCACATCCTGAAGTCTACGGCCAAACAGTAAATGTAGTGAAGCACATACTGTCCATCTTCTGGGTAATGACAAGAGACATTATAATCAACTTAATACGGCAACAGTCTGTAGAGGTACCTTCAGGTTCTGCCCTATCGCAGGAGGACTGAGCATGCCTGGGAAGTCCTAATGAGCAGTGACATCAATCATGATATTACATCATCATCATCAAGTGCCTTGCCTGTTGGCGGTAGACGTTCATGCATCTCCACAAATCTTGGTCTTTGGTATTCTGGATCAATTCCACTGATGATATTTCTCCATGTCACTGTCTTAACCCATAAACCTTCATTTTTCTTGGTCTGCGTCTTCTACCAGTGATCTTCCAGTCAGCAGGATATTTTCCAGTGCTCCTTTTCTCATCATATGACCAAAGAACATTGTCTCCTCATTGTTGTATATAATGTTCTACTTTCATTAGCCATCTCCAGGCAATCAGTGTTAAGTATTGTGGCAGTCGATAAAAGAAGAAAATACCACATGACATGCCAATAATTACCAAGAATCAGAAGCAGTTCTTGTGCTCTGCCAAGGGCAAAGGCTGGGATGAGACATCGACCACCTCTGTTGACAATGTCATGGACCAGACTGGTGAACCGATGCTCCCTTTCTTCTCTGTTCTCATGAATGTGGGTTCCATAAGTAGATTCCTAGAATTTAAACAATTCAGATATTTGTTTCTTTAACTGGTAAATAAATGTACATGAAAAGACTAAATAAAATTACTACCCTGGATATCCTGTCAGAAGAAACTTTATCTGTTGGAGAACCCTTGAGGTCAAAGACGGGGAAATCCTGAGCCTGAGATTTTAGGGCAGCATGGCTAAGGCTGTCGCCACAGACTGTGCAGGTAAGGATGTTTAATTTTGCCCCCCCCCCCCCCCAAATTGTGAGAAAAGCTGTTCCTAGAATCGGAATGTGTCAACCATTTCTTGGTGGGTAGGGATCACACATGCAGTTAACTCAGTGAGCACCATGTGACCACACCCAATAGACCTGACAACCAAGCTTTGCGGAATCTAAGAGACCTGGAGCTGACACCCCAATTTATGGCCCATCATGGATCGAGCACATGGCCAGAGAGCGCTAAAGAGTGGCCCTGAAAATAAGTAAATAAGAAAACATCAAGTAGAGGACAAAATGGACAACATAAAAATGTAAAGCCAAGCTGACCAGCACTTTGAACCTGCGGTCTTTAAGTTACAAAATCTCACTGAAAAAAAGTGTAATTAAATAAACCTGTGGCCTTCAAGTTATAAAATCTCAGTGGAAAAAAAAAAACAGGTGTACTAAAATACGCACCCAACTAGTAAACTTCAAACTGAGCAGTCCCTGTGTGGATTCTGGATCCCTATTTTACTGAAATTGGATGTGTCTGGTCAAAAGGCGCAGATACAGTACCTAAGTTATAGACCACAACACAACATGAAGACCACCATGGAAGAAAAAGAACAACAACAATAAACTCAGCCCTGTTATTATATTCTGGATAAATCTAGGGTAAGCTTTACAATTTTAAAATTCACAATAAAGATACTTCATTCTTTTGATGGTGCACTCCAATGTCCAGAGAAATTTCAGTATGGACATTTTAAAGAAAACTCACAATCAACATTGCATACATTTCATTAAACTGAAGTATCAACAAACAGTAGACAACTTCTATCAGTCTTCTTTTCTGTAAGGTATAAAAAGGATCTGCTACGTGATTATGAAGCTGAATTACATAATTAAACATCTTTTAAACTGATTAAACACAACTGGCAGTGACTTTACTTCAAGATAAAATTATGACAATACAGTTCAAAATTCAGCATCAAAATTGTGATCTGCCAACACTCAATACACAACATACTCAGTTTCCGCAAGACAACAGTTACAAGTGAAACTTACAATGATGAGGATGTCAGGTCTCACATTTGGCATCTCTGCAGACATCAAATGTCTGTCTTCTTGTCGAGAATAATCACCTGTGTACAAAATCTGTTCCAGAGAAAAACAAAGCATCAGAGTGGTTATCACCAGCACAGAATGACCAAAAATGAATTGACAAGATTGTGACAATGATAATATGGTGATATCATCTTCCCTGCCCAGTCCAGAGTTCAGGTTACTGTGTAACCATGGAAAGGAGGGGGTAGGGGTGGGGGGCACCAAATTAAATGTCATGTGCTTGACCAGGGCTTTCAAGGAACTACATCTGTCTGGTTCTCATCCTGCAGACTTCAATTCTAGAAAAGACAAACTACCCACCTACCGCATGGCCATCGTAATTAAAATGATGATAATTATTATGACAATAATTATTTTTCTTCTTTCTTTTCATCTTCCTGGAAAGCAGTTTTAAAGGAAGGCCACAGACCTCTATGAAAGCTGTGATGTGTCACATATCCTTCATGGATCCATACAGCATAATTTCCACTGGAATGCTAACTGGCCAGACCTGGGATTTTTCTGCTGCGTGCAGAGAACATGTCTATAGCACATGTTCGGTATTCTAGGGCAGCGGTTCTCAAACTGAGTGCCTCGAGCGTATGTCAGGGGTGCCGCGGCAATAATCAAGAATCTTTCAAAATCTGCTTGAGATCAGCGAAGGCAGCAGTTTAAAAAGAAATACCATAAAGGAAGCCAAGAAGAGTTCTGGATGCAGCTGTTCTCAGAAGACAAAGCTATTGGCAAGGCTCGAGTGTATTCTCTACATACGCTAACATTAAAAACAGAAACAGGAGCAAACTTTCTGGGTCACATGATGTGAGGGTAAAATCAACTAAGCTTCCCATAGACATAAAGGAAATAATGAAAAATGAATCCAAACAATTTCATTCATTGCACCAAAGACAAATGAACATTAAATTTGCACTGATTTTTTCTTCTTTTATTAAGTATTAAAACCGCTTTAAGGGTAGGTGCGCCGCAAAATTGTTTTTATGCCTGACAAGAGTGCTGCGGCGAAAAGTTTGAGAAAAGCTGTTCCAGGGTGCCTGTCCACATGGGCACAGGCCTGAGTTTCTAATCTTGAAAGTTCTGTACAAATGGCTGCGGGGTCTGTTGTAATCTATTATTTACAATTTAAATATAACAGTGGTTGCTTTCATATGAGGAGGTTGACTGGGTCTAAGGGATTGTGTTATGGACTGTAAATGTTCTGGATTTTATTTTCCTCATAAGTACAAGCTGCATCGGGCTGTTCTGTATGGCTGCTAATTTTTGTTAAGCAGCCTGCTCTTTTATTTCCCGTAATGATGCACTGGTCTGGGAACTAACAGAGAACAGTCTCAGCTGACCCATTCTATTAAATAGAAATCTTAGTTTGTGGAACTCCAGTTTTCTATGGCTTTGTAGATCCTTCAATACTAAGTCAGTATCTGTGAGCATAACCACTTCTAACGCAGGAGCTGCACTCACTGACAATGACAGTAAAAATGATCCACGAGTATGATAATAATTCCAAAGGGTACAATATCTTTACACCTTTCCAAAAGATAAGTGTTATATTCTGCTACAGGGAGGTATGATAATCCCAGCCTATTGTGACAGCAAGTGTGACTACCATAGCACAAAGCCTCAGCAGTATTGTAGAGACCATGTGTTGCCCCCCCCCCCCCCACCCCCAGTATGATCTCCGCCTCAGTTTGCTTTTCTTACTCCAAAGTTGAGTCAAGTGCCGACATCGCAGCACTTGGTGCATTGCCATAAGCGCTCCGTCCCCATCTTCAGCAGCCAGTAAAGAGTTCCGATACTAATGGTGCCAGCAGCATTCTGATTAAACGTTTGTCTTGTCTCTCCTCTGAGCTTCAAGCATCTGCCAGAACCTCTCGTCACTCCCCACTGCATCAATCTCACCAGACTAGTGATCCATCTGCTCCTCTGAACTGTACAAGCTCTCCCACAAGGCAATTAACCACGTCTGCCCTATCATGCATCAATCTGTCTGCCTGTTCATTTCCCAAAAGAGAAGTAACACCAATAAGTCTGAAACAAAGTATACTGCAGAAACTGCCTGGAACAGAAGATCTGCATTCTATCTATCCACATTTCGGAGCTCCCCTCCTAGACCAGCCGCCAATTTAGGTCACTGGCCCTGTCACAACAATGAAGACGACGATGATACCAATAATCTGAATAATGATGATGAATGAAGACAACAATGATGATGGCAGTAATAATATCAATAGTGTAATTGATGATGGTGATGATGAAATTGTTGATAACACTGTTGATAATTCCAGCTATGATAACAATTTTGATGATGACAGTTACGATAACAATGCCGATAATGAGTTATGATAACAATGTTGATGATGATAGTTATGATAACAATGCTGATGATGACAGTTACGATAACAATGTTGATGATGACAGTTATGATAACAATACTGATGATGACATTTATGATAACAATGTTGATGATGACAGTTATGATAACAATGTTGATGATGACAGTTACGATAACAATGTTGATGACAGTTATGATAACAATACTGATGATGACATTTATGATAAAAATGTTGATGATGACAGTTATGATAACAATGCTGATGATGACAGTTACGATAACAATGCTGATAATGACAGTTATGACAACAATACTGATGATGACAGTTACGATAACAATGTTGATGATGACAGTTATGATAACAATGTTGATGATGATAATTATGATAACAATGTTGATGATGACAGTTACGATAACAATGTTGATGATGACAGTTATGATAACAATACTGATGATGACATTTATGATAACAATGTTGATGATGACAGTTATGATAACAATGTTGATGATGACAGTTACGATAACAATGTTGATGATGACAGTTATGATAACAATACTGATGATGACATTTATGATAAAAATGTTGATGATGACAGTTATGATAACAATGCTGATGATGACAGTTACGATAACAATGCTGATAATGACAGTTATGACAACAATACTGATGATGACAGTTACGATAACAATGTTGATGATGACAGTTATGATAACAATGTTGATGATGACAATTATGATAACAATGTTGATGATGACAGTTATGATAACAATGTTGATAATGACAGTTACGATAACAATGTTGATGATGACAGTTACGATAACAATGTTGATGATGAATAAAATGTTGATAATGATGGTGATAAAAATGATAATAATAATGACAACAATAATGATAATGTGAATGATGACAATGAAGAATCTTACCTTAACACCAGCAATTTCAATCATAAACATGGCTGCTCCTAACACATGACCAGCTGAGTAGCACCAGAATCGAACCCCATTGATATCTGTTTCCTGCAAATCAAATAAAAATGGGTTAAGTTAGTTAGTTGTAGTTCTAACTTTGCGGCTAACAGGCCACCTCATTAAAAAAAAGAGTTCCCTGAACTACAGCCTCTAGAAATAAAATTAACAAGTGAAATTATGTGTGAAACGCTATTGTTGGTTAACACAATGAGAAAACCTGATAATATAAATAAAATGTCTTTGCAATGGAACTCACAGGGTCAAAGGAATAAAGGCAGACCCAAAATCCCATTAAAAAAAAGAGAAAGAACAAAGCGAACAATACTGAGAGGACGTGGAGTGAACTAGACACAAAAGTAAAAGATCGGACTTGGCATGAGTTGCTTCAGGACATGTACTCCATTGGGGAATACAGGGCAGAAAAGATCTCGGAAACAAAAGGGCAGGCAAGTGTTTATAGCGCTTTAAGAATGGATCGCTGATCAAATAGTGAATTAAACTTCACTGTGATAAAGGTATCAGGGTAGCAAGACTGCATGCTGGTTCGGGGCCTTGTGTTTGAATCTGCCTCTAGGCAGGGATTTTAAAATGACCTGGTTATTGCAGCCTAAAACAAGTACTATATATACCAAATCACCATATGGGGTTAGCACCATTTCAAGGCAAGTTAAATGTTCTTTACTTGTACAGTGAGGGTTTTTCTCCATTTGTGTTCTGTAATTTGGAAAAGGGGGAGGGGGGGAATAGACCCATAGTCCCCTAACATCTTCTTCTTCGCATTCACTGGCTGTAAACTCCAGCAGAAAGTTCTGGGTGTTTGTCCACCTTCAGGTTTCGGTCTTGTTCCACAACCTGAGTGTTGCGTGCACATCCTTTTCACAGTTCTGGCTTATGCAGACTCTTGGTTCCTTGCCTCTCAGGCAGATGTACTCTGAAGGATGCCCCCATTTAGCTGACTCTTACGAAATGCTCGTTAGGGAGGCAGTGGGTCCATTCTTGTTTTCCCCCACAATGGGACCCCCGGAACAAAAAACTGTAGACACCTCAGCCTAGCAGTAAGTCACAAAACAATGTGTCAATTGCCATTTCAAAAATAAATGTGGAAAAATCAGACATTTACGTTGAGGTGAGGGTGACTCTAAAGGTGAGAAAAGCGAACTCCTTACACCAGGTGTTATTTTATCTTATTTTTAAGCCTATCTAGATGGGGATATAAACCTATGACCTAGGCCTGCAGGCCAGCAAAATAACCATCAGCTCTCTGTCACTGTTTAATGTTTGTTAGTTATGTGCCCTCTACAGGATGTTGCAGAACTAACTCCAGCATCTTCTGGCTGCTAGTGATTTTGCTGCTCTCTTGAAACCAAAGCTAGGTGGTCTGCTAACAAATTGTCAACAGCTTGGCTAGAACCTGGCACTTCGGAGTTATGAAGCGTGTTTGCAATGCTTTAGCCACAGACGCCACTGTTAAATACCTGATGAAAATTGACGGTCTCAATCTTTTCCATACTCTTCTCTATATCGCTGTCTGTATACAACTGATCATCTGAGGCAATGTTACTGCAAACACACACAAAAACACCAGTCAATATGACAAAAATGAATGCAATCTAAACCCAGGAAACTATCTAGTCTTATTATACAATCATTTGACAAGATTTAAAATGAACTATCAAATGGGAAAAAGTTAACATCGTTAATCTGGTTTTAAAAGTTTTAACCAAAACAACAACAATAAGACTCCATGGAAATAAGTTAAAATTACAGAATTAGTCTTATGTTTACAATAATAGAATCAAATAGGCAGAAGTTAAAATTATATCATTAATCTCATTTGTCATTTTTTATTTTTTTTTTTATTTTATTATTATCAAATAGGAAGAGATTACAATTATACCATTAGTCTAATTAGAAGGGGGAAAAAGTCTATTTGGAATAATGCGCAAACTTCACAAGCGCACAACATACCTGACTTTGACGTAATCTGAGAGCAGCCACCTGTAGATAGCTTTTGTCGCATGGGTCATGAAACACCGACCCTTGAAAGCTGTCTTCTGCAGGAAGTAGGGCAAGCCGCCACAGTGATCCAGGTGAAAACTGAAAACAGTTGCCAAGTTAATAACTAATGCATAAACATTGAAATGCAGTTATTTGGTTGGAGTTCCAACTTCAATGCAAAAAGGTCACTCTGTAATTGCTACGTTCCTGTGCCAGTAGACATCGCACGAACGTCCTTAAATGACCCATTTGAAAAATGAAAAAGATTAGTCAAAGTAAAATCCAGAAGCTTGCACATGCAAAGTTAATGAATAAGATGGCCACCAGATTTCCCACATTAATAGTCCTCTACCAGACCTTCCAGAACTGCAGCTCACTGTTGACGAAAGCAGCCAATCACACCAAGCCGGCACTGCACATGCAATACTGGATGAAGCATGCATACCACTATCATCCTGTTATGACATTGTACATAATCTAGAGCTCACAGTATTTTGCTTCCCTTGTGTCCTGTGCAACTGTTTCACTATCATGAATGAAATCAAATCCAGCACTTTGGGGAATATAGGGCAGAAGAAACAGATCTCAGGAACAACACAGCTGGCAAGTGATCATATCGCTTCAAGAATGCCTTACTGGTCAACCACGGACCTAAACTTCAGTGTCATGAATGTATCTGGTAGCAAGACGGCACGCTGGTTCTATGGCCTTGTGTCAGAATCTGTCTCAAGGCAGCGATTTTAATTATTAACGAACCAGGTTATTACCGCCTAAAAATAGTGCATTACACACTAAGTGCCGACTTTCCACACAGGGTTAGCACCATTTCAAGGTAAGTAAAATGTTCTTTTCTTGTACAGTGAGGTTTTTTCCGTGTGAGTCCTGGACACCACTTGAAAGGGAAAACAAAAGACCACTCTTATCCATGTTCATATAAAAGGTAAATGTTATACTGTCCTTAAAAAGCTCCCATCACATTACCAAAGAGCAGTTCCGAAAAAGCTCCCATCACATTACCAAGAGCAGTTCCGAAAAATCTCCCATCACATTGCCAAAGAGCAGTTCCGAAAAATCTCCCATCACATTGCCAAAGAGCAGTTCTGTAAATTTTTTAAATGTTGGAAATGTAAGTAAAATAAATCTCCCTTCCACAAAAGGAGATGCCTGACTGCATGCATCAAAAACAAACAAATGAGGCAGAAAACAAAATAACACAGTACTTACTGGCTGACCAATAAAAGATCTATCTCTTCTGGTTCAATCATGTCTAAATAGGGAAGCGATGCCATGCCAGTCATGCCAGGGTGGATTCCACAGTCCAGCTAAATATGCAACCACAAATATAAAATAATTTTTCAAACTGGTTTTTACTTCATGATAAACACAATACATGCAATGTTCAGGAGCTGGAAAATCTTCGCATTCACTCGGTGTAAACTCCAGCGGAAAGACTTGGATGTTTGTCAACTTCTGGATATCGGACTTGTTCCAGAACCTGAGTTCTGTGTGCACTTTATTTTTACAAACTTAACTTATTGTGAGCAAACTAAAGGTTTCTGGTCCCTCAGTCAGATGCACTCTCACTTCAAAGGAAAGAAAATGTCAATTCTATCTGCAGATGCCAGGACCCAGTGTTTAGGATCACAGCAGAGAGGGGGAGATGGGTCATGACCAGTATGAACCTGTGTAGATAGGCCTTGACCAGTATAAACCCATGTAGATAGGCCTTGACCACTATGAACCCATGTAGATAAGCCTTGACCAGTATGAACCCATGTAGAAAGGTCTTGACCAGTATGAACCCATGAAGATATGTCTTGACCAGTGTGAACCTGTGTAGATAGGCCTTGACCAGTATGAACCCATGTAAATATGTCTTGACCAGTATGAACCTGTGTAGATAGGTCTTGACCAGTATGAACCTGTGTAGATAAGCCTTGACCAGTATGAAAATGTGAAGATATGCCTTGACCAGTATGAACCTGTGTAAATAAGCCTTGACCAGTATGAAACTGTAAAGATAGGCCTTGACCAGTATGAACCTGTGTAGACAGGCCTTGACCAGTATGAACCTGTGAAGATAGGCCTTGACCCGTATGAACCCATGTAGATATATCTTGACCAGTATGAACCCATGTAGATATGCCTTGACCAGTATGAACCTGTGTAGATAGGCCTTGACCAGTAAGAACCTGTGTAGATAGGCCTTGACCCGTATGAACCCATGAAGATATGTCTTGACCAGTATGAACCTGTGTAGATAGGCCTTGACCAGTATGAACCCATGAAGATATGTCTTGACCAGTATGAACCTGTGTACATAGGCCTTGACCAGTATAAACCTGTGTAGACAGGCCTTGACCAGTATGAAACTGTGAAGACAGACATTGACCAGTATGAAACTGAGTAGATAAGCCTTGACCAGTATGAACCTGTGTAGATAGGCATTGACCCGTATGAACCAATGTAGATATATCTTGACCAGTATGAACCCATGTAGATATGTCTTGACCAGTATAAACCTATGTAGATATGTCTTGACCAGTATGAACCCATGTAGAAAGGTCTTGACCAGTATGAACCCATGAAGATATGTCTTGACCAGTATGAACCTGTGTAGATAGGCCTTGACCAGTATGAACCCATGTAGATATGTCTTGACCAGTATGAACCTGTGTAGATAGGTCTTGACCAGTATGAACTTGTGTAGATAGGTCTTGACCAGTATGAACCCATGTAGACAGGCCTTGACCAGTATGCACCTGTGTAGATAGGCCTTGACCAGTATGAACCTGTGTAGATAGGCCTTGACCATTATGAACCTGTGTAGATAGGCCTTGACCAGTATGAACCTGTGTAGATAGGCCTTGACCATTATGAACCTGTATAGATAAGCCTTGACCAGTATAAACCTGTGTAGACAGGCCTTGGCCAGTATGAACCTGTGTAGACAGGCCTTGACCAGTATGAAACTGTGAAGATAGGCCTTGACCAGTATGAAACTGTGAAGATAAGCCTTGACCAGTATAAACCTGTGTAGACAGGCCTTGACCAGTATGAAACTGTGAAGATAGGCCTTGACCAGTATGAAACTGTGAAGATAGGCCTTGACCAGTATGAAACTGTGAAGATAAGCCTTGACCAGTATGAAACTGTGAAGATAGGCCTTGACCAGTATGAACCTGTGTAGACAGGCCTTGACCAGTATGAACCTGTGAAGATAGGCCTTGACCAGTATAAACCTGTAAAGACAGACATTGACCAGTATGAAACTGAGTAGATAAGCCTTGACCAGTATGAAACTGAGTAGATAAGCCTTGACCAGTATAAACCTGTGTAGATAGGCCTTGACCCGTATGAACCCATGTAGATATATCTTGACCAGTATGAACCTGTGTAAATAAGCCTTGACCAGTATGAACCTGTGTAGATAGGCCTTGACCCGTATGAACCCATGTAGATATATCTTGACCAGTATGAACCCATGTAGATATGTCTTGACCAGTATGAACCTGTGTAGATAGGCCTTGACCAGTATGAACCCATGTAGATATGTCTTGATCAGTATGAACCCATGAAGATATGTCTTGACCAGTATGAACCTGTGTAGATAGGCCTTGACCAGTATGAACCCATGTAGATATGTCTTGACCAGTATGAACCTGTGTAGATAGGCCTTGACCTGTATGAACCCATGTAGATATATCTTGACCAGTATGAACCCATGTAGATATGTCTTGACCAGTATAAACCCATGTAGATATGTCTTGACCAGTATGAACCCATGAAGATATGATGAAACTGAGTAGATAAGTCTTGACCAGTATGAACCCATGAAGATATGTCTTGACCAGTATGAACCTGTGTAGATAGGCCTTGACCAGTATGAACCCATGTAGATATGTCTTGACCAGTATGAACCTGTGTAGATAGGTCTTGACCAGTATGAACCTGTGTAGATAGGTCTTGACCAGTATAAACCTGTGTAGATAGGTCTTGACCAGTATGAACCTCTGTAGATAGGCCTTGACCAGTATGAACCTGTGTAGATAGGCCTTGATCAGTATGAACCTGTGTAGATAGGCATTGACCAGTATGAACCCATGTAGATAGGTCTTGACCAGTATGAACCCATGTAGATAGGTCTCGACCAGTATGAACCTGTGTAGATAGGTCTTGACCAGTATGAACCTGTGTAGATAGGTCTTGACCAGTATGAACCTGTGTATATAGGTCTTGACCAGTATGAACCTGTGTAGATAGGCCTTGACCAGTATGAACCCATGAAGATAGGTCTTGACCAGTATGAACCCATGAAGATAGGTCTTGACCAGTATGAACCCATGTAGATATGTCTTGACCAGTATGAACCCATGTAGATAGGTCTTGACCAGTATGCACCTGTGTAGATAGGCCTTGACCAGTATGAACCTGTGTAGATAGGCCTTTACCATTATGAACCTGTGTAGATAAGCCTTGACCAGTATGAACCTGTGTAGATAGGCCTTGACCAGTATGAAACTGTGAAGACAGACAATGACCAGTATGAAACTGAGTAGATAAGCCTTGACCAGTATGAACCTCTGTAGATAGGCCTTGACCCGTATGAACCCATGTAGATATATCTTGACCAGTATGAACCCATGTAGATATGTCTTGACCAGTATAAACACATGTAGATATGTCTTGAACAGTATGAACCCATGTAGAAAGGTCTTGACCAGTATGAACCCATGAAGATATGTCTTGACCAGTATGAACCTGTGTAGATAGGCCTTGACCAGTATAAACCTGTGTAGATATATCTTGACCAGTATGAACCCATGTAGATATGTCTTGACCAGTATAAACCCATGTAGATATGTCTTGACCAGTATGAACCCATGTAGAATGGTCTTGACCAGTATGAACCCATGAAGATATGTCTTGACCAGTATGAACCTGTGTAGATAGGCCTTGACCAGTATGAACCCATGTAGATATGTATTGACCAGTATGAACCCATGTAGATATGTCTTGACCAGTATGAACCTGTGTAGATAGGTCTTGACCAGTATGAACCTGTGTAGATAGGTCTTGACCAGTATGAACCCATGTAGATAGGCCTTGACCAGTATGCACCTGTGTAGATAGGCCTTGACCAGTATGAACCTGTGTAGATAGGCCTTGACCATTATGAACCTGTGTAGATAAGCCTTGACCAGTATGAACCTGTGTAGATAGGCCTTGACCAGTATGAACCTGTGTAGATAGTCCTTGACCATTATGAACCTGTGTAGATAAGCCTTGACCAGTATAAACCTGTGTAGACAGGCCTTGGCCAGTATGAACCTGTGTAGACAGGCCTTGACCAGTATGAAACTGTGAAGATAGGCCTTGACCAGTATAAACCTGTGTAGACAGGCCTTAACCAGTATGAACCTGTGTAGATAAGCCTTGACCAGTATGAAACTGTGAAGATAGGCCTTGACCAGTATGAACCTGTGTAAATAAGCCTTGACCAGTATGAAACTGTGAAGATAGGCCTTGACCAGTATGAACCTGTGTAGACAGGCCTTGACCAGTATGAACCTGTGAAGATAGGCCTTGACCAGTATAAACCTGTGAAGACAGACATTGACCAGTATGAAACTGAGTAGATAAGCCTTGACCAGTATGAAACTGAGTAGATAAGCCTTGACCAGTATGAACCTGTGTAGATAGGCCTTGACCAGTATGAACCTGTGTAGATAGGTCTTGACCAGTATAAAACCTAGTCCTCATGCACCACCATGTGTCATTCAGCAGTCCGCATCCCAGAATCCGACCACAAGGGATCAGTGATCCTCACATTAACATTTTCAATAAATCCATTTTAATCTGTCACAGTCCCACAACATAGTACCAGCAAGTCCTGTGCGTGTTCTCTAAACATTACTGAGCAGTTATGTCTCCTATGACTCACTTTATGTGACTGTGACATGTCAGTTTATGACTCCCATGTGTCCCTTTAAGTGACTGTGATGTCAGTTTATGTCTCTTATGTGTCCCTTTATGTGACTGTGATATCAGTTTATGTCTCTTATGTGTCCCTTTATGTGACTGTGTTGTCAGTTTATGTCTCTTATGTGTCCCTTTATGTGACTGTGTTGTCAGTTAATGTCTCTTATGTGTCCCTTTATGTGACTGTGACATGTCAGTTTATGTCTCAGAGAGTAACTTTATATGATATGTCAGTTTATGTCTCCCATAAGTTACTATTTAAACATGAAAAATAATTACAAACACAATGAAAATCATATATATTTTGAATCTACAATAACAGTTCAGACTAACCAGAATCTTCTTTCCTTTAAACTCCAGCAAATGGCATGATCTTCCTACTTCCTGTCCAGCTCCACTAAAAGCAAAATCATGTCACATAGAATAATAGAGAGAATGATTTAGAGGAGAGAATGACTAAGAGAAATTAATCTGATTGAAAATTTAAAAAAAAAATTGTTTAAACAAAACAAGGATAAGGACGCGGAATAGAGGTTAAAATAAATCAGATTACTATTTATATGCAAAAAAAATTATCATCATATTTTCTGAATGTCCTTAACCCATTCACCAGGGGCCACAATTAAAAAAGGGTCCATGAACCCAGGAATTTCCGCAAAAAATCCTTCAATAAACAACTATTGTTCAGGACACTTTAAAAATGTTAAATTTATTCAAATATTTTCATGAGGGGTGGTCAGGCCATCCTGGTTGTTCTTCCTCTTCTGGTCTTGTTCCAGAACTTGAGTTTTGCCTGCAAATCAGTATTACAACTCTGGCTTATATGTATGCAGAGTGTTGGTTCCTTGCGTCTCAGACAGATGCACTTCAACTTCAAAAGAAATCCCTAAGTAGTGACTCTTACGACCTGCTTGTTAGGGAAGCAGTTGGAGTTTTCCTTTTCTTTCTGTCCCTTAACAACTGGGCCCCGAACTCAAACATGGAAGCGAAATTATGAAGAATAATCAACAACATAACATAAACCTTGACCCATTAGGGAAGCACTAGCACATAAAACCCGCCATCTTTCTCTGTCTTCCGCTTGATAAGTTTATGATATAGTCATTTCAGGTTCTTCTTTGCCCTCCTCTTCTTCAACTACCCCTTAATGTTCCTTGAAGCATAATCTTTGCATCCATCATACATTTCAGTGGGCAACAAGTTTGCTTGGTAGTGCCAATCTCCTTTCCAAGTATCCAAATCTGTTTCTACATGTTTATAATCAATAAACATGAATGGAGAAGAATTCCCTGCATTTAATTCCTCTGGGCCTAAAAAATATATCAGGTGACTCCTACTGTCACCCTTATGATCTCGGAATTATAACCCTAAGTAAGTCTACGGCAAATTATTATGTAAAAACAAAGACTTCAAAATAGCCATTTTGCTTTAAAAAAAAAAAAAACTAAATACTATTTTTAGTAAATATATTCACATCCTTCTTTCTTCTTCTTCTGCGTTCGACATCAGTCATGCTACACATTGAGTCCCGTCTGGGTCAAAAATAGGATTGTGTGTTTAAGGTCGCCACCGGTCCCCCATAGCTTCTCTCGCAATGTGGATCCTCTGTGCCAGATCCAGTCTTTGCTGGGAGAGGTAAGGCAGTACTGCAGTATGTGCTCAGGGGTCTGTCTTTCTGCTCCACAATCACAGGCAGCAGATTCTTTTATGCCTATCCTGTACAGGTGTGCTCGAAGACCACAGTGTCCAGTCCGAAGTCTAAAAATTGATGTTTGTTCTTTCCTGTTGAGTTTGTTTATGCTGTCACTCTCTGGTCTGTAAACTCTCCACTCCCGCTTGAAAGACTGCTTTAGTGCTGTTTTGGTTTCCTCATAGCTGTGTGGTGAATGAGGTTGTGGAAGATTACTCCCAGCTTTTGCCAACTCATCTGCTCTCTCATTTCCTTAAATACCACAGTGGGCTGGTATCCACTGCAAGACCAGTTCTGCTTCCTTGGAGAGTAAGCCATTGTTGGTCCTTAGATCTGCAATTAGTTTGTCTTGTTTTTTTTTTGCTTGATAGTGCTTGGAGAACAGACAATGAGTCACTAAGTATAACAATTTTGTGCCCTCTGTGTTCTTGAGTGATGAGATGTTGGACTGCAGAAAGGAGGGCAGTTGCCTCAGCTCTGAAGTTAGTGCAGATGTCACCTGATTCACATCCTGAAAAGGCACAGACCAAAAAAATGGCACTAATGGACATTTCAGAAACATGCCCCTGTAGCCTGTAACCTCTCATCACTCCTTCTGCATCAATCTCACCAGACTTTGGTGATCCATCTGCTCCTCCGAACTGTACACGCTCTCTCACAAGGCCCTAACCATGTATCAGTATTCCACCAAGTTGTGCAGACCTAGCCAGTCTGTCTGGCTGTTTCATTTCTCAACACACCGGCGTACCCCGGTGAAAAAATCCAGACAATACTCCTCACCCGTGTCCTCTGCAGAGAAGCATGCCTGTCAGAATCTTCGTTAGCATGCTTTCTGAGAGTATGACTATTAAAAAGTATAGGGTCCTAAGCAGATTATTAAAATTAAGAGAGGTCCAGAGGTCTTGACTAACAGGGAACAACTGCTTTAGAGCATGACATTTTGCCATAGAAATAACCTTTCTGAAAGTACAGCTTCTGCAGGAAAATATTCATATACTGTCTGCATGTGACTCTTCTTCTTGTTAGCGTTCAGTGTTTGTAAACTCCAGCAGAAACTTCTGGTTGTTCATCCACTTCTGGACTTTGGTTTAGTTCCTCATTTTTTTACTTCTTCTTTGTGTTTTCCATCTGTAAACTCAAAAAGTTCTGGCTTTTCACATGTTTCTGGAATTTAGTCATTTTCCAGAACATGAGTTTTGCAATAACATGTCTTATAAATCTGGTTTATTTGTAAGCCTCCCTGTGTGGATTCTGGGGTCCCATTGTGGGGAAAACAAGAACAGACTCACTGCCTCCCCAACAAGCATGTCGTAGGAGTCGACAATTTGGGAGCTTCCTCTGAATTTAGAGTGCACCTGCCTGAGCAGCAAGGATCAAACAGCTGCACACAAATAAGTCAGTAGAACAGATGTACACACAAAACTCAAGCCCTGGCATAAAGCCAAAGTCCAAATGGACAAACAACCAGGATTTTCCGCCTGAGTTTACAGCTGGTGAACATAGAAGAAGATTTGTAAGCAGAATGTGGTTACTGGCCTCTCAGGTAGATGTACTCCGAATTTAAAAGAAATACCTCTAATGAGTCGAATTTTATGATATTCTTGTTAAGGGTCAGTGGCTGTTCCCCCCCCCCCCCCCTTTCCCACCACTAGGAGATAGTATTAAGGAACTTGAATTTTGCATGCACATCTATTTTTACAGATCTGGCTTATGTGTGTGCAGACTGTTGGTTCCTCACCTCACCTCAACATACTTCATATCCTTAAACCTAGGTTAGACCTACATAAAACAAGCTTAGTGTACTCTGACTCAGCTGCTTATCTGTGGAACCAACTTCCAGAGTCCATTAAAAAAAATATCAATAACCCGTTTACACACGATCAAAAACCATCTAAATACTATATCATTACAGACTACATGCCCCCTTTAAAGATAATAGTATTCTAAGCCTATTGTTGGTTTCCTTTAGATTTATATACTTAGTATTGTTTTAAAATATAGGTATACTAGCATTTGTAACTAAAACTCAGACGTTGTTGATGTTCATTATTATTGTTATCTGCTAAAATGACATTTAAATGGAATAATGTTCGCACGGAGTGATGCCAGAAGGGCTTGTGTAGTAAATTTGTAAACTTCCGAAAATAAAGCATGTTGGTTCTCCCATTTTTCAACCTACACGGTGAACCTACAGGGGGAAGTGCACATGACAACAGAATGTTTTAACACCTGTTTTGATCACAATTTGTATTGTTTAAATGAGACAAGTAAAAAAGTCTGGCCCAGGATGAGATATGGGTGTCAGAGTTGAGTTAGTTGTGGGTTATTTACAGGACACTTCTGAACTAACTACAACATTTTTTTTGGTTGTAGTTTTATTCCTATTCCTTTTAGGAAAAAAATCAAAAACTCAACCATGTTCAACCTGCTGCTAGCTAGCTGAAGCTGCCAACAGTATCTGGCTGTATTTGTGGTCTTGTTTATTTGGGCCACTTTCATGGCTAAAGCTCTGGTATTTGCGCCATCTTTGGGCTTAATGTTTCTTTCCCCTAAGTCAGATCTTATTCCCTATCCTGTTGTCAACTGTGTTCTTCTTGCCTTTTTATTTCTGATGTTTCCCCCTTGGTTTCAGCTCCTTCTGATTTGGCCAGAGGTACATCGTAGGACAGCGAGCTTCTCAATATAACGTACTTTGGACAATCATTTATAGTTTTACAATTTTGACTATTTTACTTTGCCAAAAAGTACTAAAAACAGTTTTCGGGTTTGGATAGATCCAAAACTTAAAAATATTCCGTGTGGTCTTAAAGTTGCCTTCCTAAAGTAAGAATGGGCTAATTACGTCATTGAGATGTGAGTGAAATGTTAGGTGAAGCCTCACAATGATTAATAACCGACTGGTGAACCAAGAATGAACTGAATCAATCAGTCATTACACGCTGGTAGACAGTTAAATTAACTGGAATGCATTAATTATTTTTCCTCAAGAAGTTTTAGCAAAATCATGATCGAACATTATGAAATGTAACTACAAAAAGAAAATATTGCAAAAGACTAAGTTATTACAGCACTTTACTTCTATTTCTAAGAAAACGCCCAGAAATAACATCTGAATTAGATACTACCAGATTTTTACACTGTATATCTAATAATCTTCTCTTTGACTTATGATAATATATAGTCATATGTGACTTGTGACAGCAAAATATAATTTAAAAAAGTAAACAAACATAACTATACTGGTAGTGTCAAAAAAGTTCAGAGAGCTGATGAATGCAATAGACAAGAGTACATATTATCATTATGTATTTTTCGCATTAATGTACAATTTTACAACAATAATTTTATATATATATATATATATATATATATATATATATATATATACGTACAGATTTAATTTTGAGTTTTTACGTAATTTTTACACATATAAACCTGTTTGAATGAAAATAGTGCTAAAAAAATATAAACTCGACACACAACCAGTTCAATTTACAAACTGCTAGTCAGGGCGGTCAAAAGTAGAGTATCCCCCGAGCCGCGAAGGGGAGCAAAACTAGATGGCTGGGACTCACGAGCAAATAAAAGCTGCAGGAGATGCGGTAGCTGCTGCTCGTGAGTCCCAGCCATCTAGTTTAGGCCCCCACCCTCCGCGCTTAACGGCGTGGAGTCAACTCTCGGCGGTATCTGACTTTAACTGGGCCTAAGCTTTTCCGCGGTATGCAGTGTATTCGCCGGAAAGAGATCCGCCGACTGAGGCCCTGTTAGTGTATTTTCTTAGCATTGATAATTTGGGACCGTTATTCGGAGGATAGTCATAATAATTAATAATTTAATAGTATAGTCGGAATTTCGACACACTTCGCACACTAATAATAATATTATAAATAAACAGACTGAAACTATTTAAATTTTTTTTTTTTAATGCGTAAATTCACCATAAAATAAAATATTATTGACAAAAGCCAATTGTAGTTTTGTACGCCAGCTGTTGATGATAACCTAATGACTATTGTCAACTAACCGGCTACTTATCTGTAACCATTATTAATCAGAGCTGCACTTACAGGGGACGGATTTGTAAGATATCGCTTTCTTCAGCGGGCAGCTGACTCTCAGGTTTGCGTTTAGCGGCCATTCTTATTATTGTTAGCGAACTCTCTTGTGCAGGAAACTACTAACCTTAAAATCTGCCAGATAAACTGGCGTATAAAGAGCCAAATATAATATAAATCTATAAATTTGGTCATATGCCTTTCTGACCTTACAATTGCTGAAGTCGTCCAGACGTTTTTTTTAAAGCCTTTTCCCAGCTGTAGTCAGGGAAGAGGGGGGGGGGGGAAGCTAAAATAACAAAACGGTTAATCGAGGTTTCTAGGACCTCTCCCAGTGTGATCCTCATCCGCATGGTGGCACTTTGTGTCACTGGTGTTTATCGCTTGGTGGATGTACTGGAGGGGTTGAATCTCATTCATTAGTTCTTGCTGACCTGCTATTGGTTATCATGTTTCTCCAAACGTTGGGATCTTTAGCATATCAAGAAGCTTCTCTCGTTTTTTTTCTTTCCATAAAACTTTCAGGCTGTCAAAGCATGTACATTTTTTATATTCTATGTCAAGATAATTAACGTCTGTTTATTTTAGCACGAAGTGTGGCTAGATAACAAGACACATACACTTGTAATTGTAAATGATTCTGGAAGCACGCTGAAAACGGTGAAGGCAGGATTGCTTCGAGCAAAGTGGCAAGCTTCATTTGCAAGGTCACGGGTAGTGAGCATACTTCGGATCTTTTCACAAGGTCAGGCCGGCGGGGTGGGCAAGGAACTGACAGACATACTGTCTGGATCTGCACCGCGGGTGGTAAATTGATTATGACAAGGCAGATTTTGTCTGGAACAAGTAACGAAGTCAGAAGAGAAACTAGATTAGTATTATGGGCAGGAGATAACTATCCACCTGGGTGTGACCAGAGGGTTCGGTCGGAACACTACGCTCATAGACCTAAAAAACTTAATAAATTATAGAGTGGAACAGACAGGACTACAAAAATTATATTTCTAATAGCATGTATCTTTTCCATTGCAACATACGCATGTGAGACCTGGATACTTACTACACAAGCTGAACAGCGCATAAATGCTTTTGAAAACAAATGTTATATATACGTAGGTAAAGAAAACAATAAATGCATCCATACTTCAAGAACTGAATATTGAAGAAGGCTGGTTATTAAAGACGATAAAACATAGAAAACCTAAACATTTTGGTCATTTAAAACGTCAATAATGTTTAGAGAGAACAATAATGGAGGGGTATATGCGTGTGAAGAGAGGAAGAGAAAGGCAAAAGAGAAGATGGGTGCAGATTTTATCGGATGATCTCCAGATGGACATCTTGTTTGTGATCGAGAAGTTTTCCGGAAGGTTATTATGGGAGCAAAGTTCTACAAATTACATGCTACTAACTGAATGTCGGAGACCATTTTGGTGCTGGCTGGATCTGGATTTCGTAAAAAAAAAAAAAAAAACATTCTTGCCAATTTCAGTCAGCTCCTAGAATTAACAGCGACTTTATCTTGGCGTCGTTTATTTGCTGCGTATGGTGACACTTGTTTCTTTCCAGTTTCTTTGTCAGGTGATAATGTCTCCTGTTTCGCTTCTTGTGTGAGGGAGGGGATCGTAGACCACCCTAAGAAGAGCAGTTTGTTTGTCTGGGGCGGCTCTGGAAAGGGTATGGGCGGGAGAGTAGAACAACATGCCTGGCTGGTCTCGAGCTGTGGGGTTCCTTGTGCTGGTTTGGACTGCTGTCATGACGGCTAGGGCGGTTATTGGCTTTTCTTCTGGTTTGCTCGGTCTCTTCTAGGTGGGATTTTCTGCTCGGGTTGCCTCTGGCGTGTTAGCAGTTCTTGGCTCTGTTGTAGGCGTATGGCCGGCATCTATGTTTCTGTTTGCTGTTTGACTGGCTCCGTCCATTGCCGTGGGCGTTCTTCGCATTGAGGACTTTGTGAGCTCTTTGCATTTCTCCGAGGATTTTGCTTTGGAATTCCTTGTGTTCGTCGTATTCCTCTGGGTGCATTACGTCTGAAAGGTTGAAGTCGCAATCTTCGTCATAGTATGTTAGCTGCCAATTGCCTTTCCAACTCCACACTCCTTTGTTAGGGTATAACAGTCAGTTCATGCTTTTCTCCAATTCCTTGATGTAGGCTGGTGTCATTTCGCCATCGGCTACGAGGGCTGGCATTTCGAAGTTTGTGGTCTTTTGCCCTTTATCAGCTGACTGAGCTCGACCTTCTGCGTCTGAGTTCTGATCTAGGTCTTCGTCTATTTGATCAGGTTCTGCTGGTACTTGCTCTTGCGCTGCTGTCAGACTTTGCTGAGTTTCAACCAGTTTTTTAAGGTGCTTATTGCTCCCGTTAGCTCATCTCGTCTATTTGTTTCTTGCGCTTCTTGCTCCGTCCTTTCTTTCTGCCGGGTTCTCTCCATGTTGACTGCTAGCAGTGCTGCGGCTGCTTTCGCCTCTACTAGTGCGATTTCTTGGTAGGTGCTCTCGCGGGCTTCCTTGAGCACGGCCATCTCTCATATATATACATGTATGTGTGTATATATGTGGATGTATTTATGTGTGCATATATGTATGTAGGTGTATGTATTATGTATGTCTGTATGTGTATGAAAATGTATTTATGTAAATGTAGCTGTGTAAGTATATGGGTATATGTGTATTCATGTATGTGTGTGGATGTTTGTCGGTATATGTAGCTGTGTAGGTACGTGGATGTGTGTGTATTTAAGAATGTATTCAAGTATGCAAGTATGTAAGTATGTATTATGTATGTGTATGTATGTATAAAAGTATCTATATGTGTGTATGTATGTATTATCTGGGTGTGTGTGTGTATGCATGCATGTGGATATACGAATGTATATTCAAGTTTGTATGTGTGTGTATTTATTTATATATGTTGTAAGTATGTGTGATTGTATATGAGAGTATGTGTGATTGTGGGTGTGTGTATGTATAATGTAGGCAAGTACGTATGTATGCATGAGTGTATGTATGTATGTGAGTATCTCAATGGGTGATTGTATATGGGTGTATGCATGCATGTGTGTGTATGTATGTAATGTGTGTCAGCATGTATGTGAGTGTGTGTATGTGTGTACGTATGCATGTTTGTGGATGTGTGTATGCATTTGTAGATGTATAAGTATGTGGGTGTACGTGTGTGTATTTAGGTATGTATGCCATGTGCATGTATGTGTATAAAGATGTAGGTGTGTGTATTGATGTGAGTGTATGTATGTATCTGTGTATGTATGTTTGCATGTGAGTGTAAATTTGTGGTTGGTGGTGTCCATATATGTATGTGTGCGTCTTTTCTGTTTGTGTATATATGTAGATGCGTTTATGTATGTACAATAGAACCTCGCTTAACGAGCACCTCTCATAACGAGTAATTCACATAACGAGCAAAACAAATTGTAAAAAAATGACTTGCTTAACGAGCGACGTTTCGCATAACGAGTGGCGAGGAGAGGGAAAGTCCCGGATTGTGCGCATGTTACATCAGTCTGCGTTTGGCACTCGTTCCAGTAGCATCGTAGTGTCGCTTGTGATCACACATTTTCTTAAACTTGTGTTTTATTGTGATATACATATATATACATGAATCCTCCAGGCCTACAAACTGACCTCCCTGAAGAATTTAAGTTCATAAAGATCCAGTCTCTGCCCCAAGACACTATTCCATTTCTCCAGCCCATAGACCAGCAAGTTATTTCTAACTTTAAGAAGCTCTACACTAAAGCACTCTTTAAGAATTGTTTTCAGATGACTGAAGGGACCAACCTCACTCTCAACGTTTTGGAAAAATCACTTCTACATCGTTGCCTGCCCCAAGACGATCGACAAGGCGGGGGAAGAGAACCCTAGAGAACCCTAACATCTGCTTGGAAGAAGCTTTGGACGGAGAGCGTTGTCGATTTGTGAGGGAGGGGTTCGGGACAGTACCTGTGGAACCTGTAGTCAACGAGATTGTGTTTTGGGCCACTATCATGGGATTGTAGGTGGATAACAGTGATATCGAAGAGCTTGTGGAAGATTACAGCCAAGAGCTGATTACTCAAGAGCTTATCGAGTTGCATTGTGTTTCACAGCAAGAAGTTTTGGAGGAAAGTTTGTCAGAGGAGGAGGATGTAACAGAAAAGCAACAATCTTCTGGAGAAGGGCTGAAAGCATGGCAAACTGTTGCATCTTACATTGAGAAGAATCACCATAATAAGGAAGTGGCTATGCGCGTTGCAAATGTATTTAATGATAATGCTATGTCGCATTTTGACAAATTTTGAAGCGTCGACAAAAACAAATGTCCATGGATATCTTTCTAGAAAAAAAAAATTATTAGCTATGTATCATAATTATTTCGACTTTTTTTTTTCTGCAAATCGAATTCGCATTCCAGGTGGGTTCGTTTCGCGTTTGAAGAAAAGATAAATATGATTCACTCTCCTTAATAATAGGTATATAATTTCCTTTGAATAAACGTTATTCATAGCACTTTGTAAGTATTTTTTTTTCGACATGGAACGCATTATCGTATTTTACATTAATTTTTATGAGAACAATTGTTTCGCATAACGAGTGTTTCGCTTAACGAGTATGATACTGGAACGAATTTTGCTCGTAAAGCGAGGTTCCACTGTATGTATGTATCAGGTATGCCTGTATATGAGTGTGCATGTATGAGAATGTAAGAGTATATATATATATATATGTATGTGTGAGTGTGTAAGATTGTGTACACATGATGTGTGTATGCATTATTCAATAATGTATATTTCTTTATTATATCCATAACATGCATTTTAGATAACAGGCATTGGTACTCTGAAAAAGGAGTTCTTAGAAGGGCTGAATGTCAGACGGGCCTACGTGCCCAATTTGTAACCCTTTGGAAAAAAAAAATTTGTTCGTTCGTTCCTTCGTTCTCTCCTGTGCTCCTCTCTTTCTGCTTTCGGCGGGCTACTTCCTGGTCTTGGGCTGTTTTGAGCTGCGACAGTAAGTCTTAAAGTTTTACGGTTGCTTGGGTCACTTCTGCCTGTAACCTCGTTTGCTGCGCAGCTTCTACTTGCTTGTC